TAAAACCTTCAAGGAAGTAGAAAGATTTACATAAGTGTATATTTCTGGGAAACAATTGGTTCTCACCTTCCACCTTTCCAGCTACAAATGGTGACAATTGTTGGTACAATGACCTTTTCAAACCTGCATTACTTCAATTTTATGTCTTTTGTCTTGTTAAATTAACCTATTTGCCCCTTTCCCCCTAAAAACAATCAATGTATCAAGATTCTGGGAACCCCTTGCTTCATGGAGACAACACTGAACAGGGGAGAAGGGGTTTCATCAATGACTTATAGCGTGACAAAAACAGTCGTGCTATTCAACACATAAATACAACTCTTCAAATGCAATGTGTCAACTAATATTAACAATTAATATTGTAGATGGAATTCCAAACCCATTACAGCTATCAATCAAAATATTTTGTATCACTCGTTTTATTTTGAAATATGACTTCCCCTCTTGGAAGGCAAAAGGAAATTAAGAACACTAGATAAATAAATTGTTTAACCCACTATATAATATCTTTCAACATACAAACAGGGTTCGACACCTGGCTACCTGCATTACTAGCTACCAGGCTGGTTATTTCTAAAATTTACTAGCCTGAAACACAACTTGGTAGCCCGGATCAATTTCCCTCGAGGTCTATTTCAACCCCAAACATGCAAACCTTCCTCTAAACTTATTGGCAAGGTCTTTTAAAATGATAAAGAATGGCATTTTTTCTTTCATTGTGATAACATAATATGCTATTTAATGAAAAAGCTAAGTAAACTTTCAAGTGCGAGGCAATCCTGCAAGGCGATCGTGTGAGGGGATGTGCAAGGCCTCGCAACATTGGTATGGACAAGACTGGAGAAGACACTGACCATTAAGCGAAGAGTCTGGCATCTAGTGGTGTTTACAGTCAACACGCAAGACAAAAAAAGACTCCAGAAGATGAAAGGTTTATGCCTTCTTCATTGGTATTATCATCACAATTTAAACTTTCTTGATTTTTTAATCAACTGTGAACTTTCAAGTAAACTAATTACACATCATTTCTTTTAATTTTTCTACTAGCCAGCGAGCTATTAAACGTGGTTTTTTACAAGCCCAACCAAATTTTTACTAGCCTCAGGCTACCAGTCTAGCGGAGATGTCGAACCCTGTATAAACAAGAATTGTCTACTTCTACATTACCTTCATTAAGATCAATAGCAGTCACCACCAGTCTGTGACCCTCAAATGTTAAAATGGGTTCATTTCCTGCTTTACTGGTCTGCCACACCTTAATTGTTTTGTCTCTTGAGGAACTGTAAATAGTTTCCCCTACATATTTTACCTGTTGAGAAGCCCAGAAGGCAAAGCTCAGGAAATAAGTCTATTTCAGGATAAAATTCTTTTCTGAACTTTTCTGTATGTTAATACCAGATCAGTCTGCAGAGTATTGCAAAAGTTGATGAGATGGTGTGCATTTAAAGGTGATTCAACCATGTGAAACATACAGTACAAAAGAAAAAAAAATTGGCCTGTTTCTACCATAGTCTGCAGACAGTATACCCGGTAATGAGTTTGAAACAGAGCAGAGAAAACTTTGGATCATGTATGACAATAAACTACAACATATAATATATTATACCTACTTTGGTAACATCTCTTGAGTGACCAGACCATTGACAAAGTGTAACACCTTGTTTCCAGTTGAACAAAACAACTAACTGTTGAATGAAAAATGCACACACGGGGTTTTACTTTTGCTAAATATTGCTTTGGAGGTTATATAGACTCTAGTGCCCTCTAATGAGAATCCTGGAACTTCCCTCAACAAAAGTCTTGTTCATAAGCCGATCTGAGGAGGGTCTCAATTCACAGGAAGATAATAGCGTAAGAGATTCGATGGCCTTAGCAATGGGACAAAGACCAATTTCCTCAGTTAAATTCTCCGTAACTTATCTGCAATAATGGTTGACCTTGATCTAATCAATTAACTCATTGACCTCCTAGAAAATGTTACAAACATACTTACGTTATCTTTACCCCCGGTAAGACAAGTCCCTGGAGCGTAAGCATTGATACAAGTGACAGCATCCCTGTGAATTGACTCAAACTCTACTACTGACTGAACTGTTTTGCTTTCCACCCCACTCGACGACACACCGTCGTATTCTTGGAAACGACGAGGTTTTGACTTCTTCAAACCCATGCACAACGTGTTAAAACACTCGAAGCAACCAGGCTGCATGTGTAATGCGATGAATTTATCTGTTCATGTTCTAAAATCTTAAGGCTTATGCAGCTTTCTATCCAGAATGACTTGTAATATATATATTTTTTTTCATTAAAAACCACTGCTAGAAGACCAAGTGATAATTCGTAAAGTCGCTTAAAAATGGCTGTTTTGCTTTCTTGACTGAATATGCACGCTTTTTTCTCAGCGGCTCTAACAAAAAATAGTACGTGTTGTAATTATCACATAGTGGATCTGTAACTAGGCGGGGAGTTTCGCAACTCAAAAAAGTGCAAACAATCTTTCACAGAGCGCAATTAGTTTTCCGAAAATTGAAAAAGAGACTACCGGTACTTGCGATGGAGTAACAAATTATCTTTTAATCGGTTTCGAGGAAATTAAAATACAATCTTGGTGATATCCATGTGCCATTCATATCGTTATCTTGTACTATATGACTTAAAAAATATATATAATTAGTTCATTCTTTTAGTTTACTTATTTCTTCTTCTATATATTCATTTATTTAGTTAGTTAAAATATATTACACGGTTATCAAAGGCCAAGTACGTATAACTTGTGATTTGGGAGACATTATACTGAAATCCAAGAAAGATGAATTAACTTTAGGCGAACACTTATAACGATTTCGGGGGTTGTTCAGAAAGCTTTAGTTATGAAGTTTGCTGCACTTTGTTCTCCTAAATAATTAATATATTTAATTGATTTACGACTGATGTAAAAATCACAACACTCTTAGATTCTCCTGGAGACGAGTCTGAATTGGTGTTGGTTTCTTTCTTCTAATTTTTTTTGCAATAAGATTTGCAGTTCATTGGAGGCCTAATCTAACCCCAAAAAATAGATGATTATCTCCCGATATATCGCAGATTTCGCAGTGCACCGCAGTCAATCTTTATGCTTTCGTGCGTCGCTTTAAAATGATTTCCCTCTCCTCTTGATTGTTTGCCTTTAGGACGTTTATCCTTTTAGTGATTTCTGCAAATCCTTCCTTTAAACTGATTGTGTCTTCTTGAATGAGCTCAACTTGCACTCGAACATTAGCCAGTCTTGCCAGAGTTGTTGCCAGTGAACTTTCAGCATTAATGACTTGAGAGCTTGTTTGAGCCTCCTCCATGCTGAGCTTAGTCTGGGTGAGATTAACTTCTCGCTTTTCGTCCAGTTAGGCAGCTAACTTAGTCTTGACATGATAGAGTCAAAGATGTGTCTTTTCGCTGGATTATCTCAATTTCCCGCTAGCGGCAAAACAAGTATCTTTCCACTCGTCAACTCAATCAGTAAAACGAAAATTCAAGCGGATGATAGCGGAGCGAACAAAATCCCTTCCTTTCAAAATGACAAATTATTGTCAGAATGAAAACCATTTGACTGCGTCCTGTGCATATAAAATAGCGTCATATAGCGCTGGGACGATAAACAATTTATTAATTGAAAGAAACACGAATGATTAAACCACATGTGGATACAGTTAAAAAATATTATTGCACGTTGACTGGCCGTAATCGATTTTTCTCGAGGAACATAATCTGCGTCAGAGTTTCTTGATTGACACAAGAAATCAAGATTACTGTTCTATGGATTTGTTTAGTTTCAGTTGAAGCTATTTCACTTAACAGCTTCCGAATTCATTCTGACGCAAGACCAAGGGAACATAGTTATTCTTTGTAGTTAGCTGTGAACCAATCAGCAAACAACATTTAAACTGTGGTGTAGTAATCTAGCCATAACTTTGACATAAATACAAACCCAGTAAGATATATTACATCCACCTTGATAATTTATTTTATATGACTGAATGGATGTTTTATATCATCACATACACTTAAATTTGGGTCTCTAAATGTATTGAGATAGTCGACTATTTCTTCCGCTCTGACAAGCAGGGACGACTTTCCCGTTCAGTTGATTAATTCTTCTCTCGACGGGAGTTGCAGGTATTTAAAATCGTGCCCACAATACAAGCTTCCAGATGTGAATATTTTATCTAACTACAACACCTAGAAATCAACAGCCTTAAAGGTAAGTAGAAGAAAAAACAGACAGATTTCTCGCCTCTTTTTCGTAACAAGAAATTTTTCTTGCAACAGCCTGAAATAACAAAAGCTGCAAAGAACTTGAACTTTACCTACAAGTTAAACACCAGACTGTAATTAGAAGAGCTAGTAGATATAAAACTAGTTTTAAACCAAAAACCAACAAGTCGGTTTTGAAATAGCTTATCCGCAAGGAACCGATAGGATATCGGCAGACTTAAATATATTTAGCAATTCGTTACAAGCACAATCTCACCTATGTAATTTTTTAATATCATCCTTTAATTTTATAATTCGTTTTGTTCTTGTGCATTCGGTTTATAAGCTTTTAACTATCTACAGCGTAACCAACAACCCTGGTTTAATTTAAAAAAAGAGAATTTGAATAGCAGGTGACAAATCCGCCAGAATATTGTTAGTACATGAGAGTATGTCTCTTCAGAAATGAAACATGAGCTAGCAACTCTTCCTTATTCAAAGTGATAATCACCTTCCTCAAGGCATATTCCACCAAAAAAAAATCAAGCGTGAAATTTCAACGAGTCAAAATTATTGCGCTGTTGTTTAAGATTCAAAGCGAGTAATTCTATGTTTGCTTTTGTTTTTCTTTCAGGAAAGTATGGTTAAAAAATTATCTTTCTGAGGATTTGTTATAGAGTAAGAAGTTATAAACAAATGGAATTGCGCAATCTCATTATTACAGTGTTATGGATGGCACTTTGCACGCAGGGTTCTTCAGGTACGGTTGAATATTTCTTCAAAAATAATTCCTCCAAATATATGCAGTTTTCAGGTCGTTTTCACCATTCGCTTTATGAAACATACAACAACTTTATTTTCCTTCTCATTCTTCTTTAATTTCAAGCCGTTTTTGTTCGGAAGACATAATAAAAATACTGTGTAAATACACTGTGGTTTCTTTTAGCCAGCAGCTCTCGCTTTTGTTTTAATTCGCATGATTACATCATCACTACAGGCGACTGATAAACTAACTTGCTTCAACAATACAAGGTCAGTGTCTATTTGATAACAAAAGAAAAGCTTGCAAATGCGGAAGAGTAACAAGTTATAATTCTTGATGCTGGTCAGCTGGGAAACTCAGTTCGCGCGAAAACGTGGCCCACGTTCCGTGAAACCGGAAGCCGTAGAGTAAAAAAGCAACAGGAGGGGGTGAGGGTGGAAATAAAGAGTAGCAACAATTTCTTTATGGCTTGGGGCAAAATGCATGGTAAAGATTAAGTTCGTAAAGACCGGAAGTTATCTGAGATACAAAACATGCGCAGGATGGGCTCCTGACATGCGCAGCACTTTTCCTCTTTGAGGCTCAAATAAGTTATTACTTGTAACCTTTTCAGTCATTAATTCAGGCAGCATACACAGGCAGGAAGGTAAAAGACATCTGTAATAAAGAGTAATTCATATTTTTCTGCTCTGTCTATAAGCAACGTTTTCTACAATGAGCAATTCTCGTTTTCCCGCCTTTCCAGGTTCTTTACAATGCAGCTCTAAAAAACCTCTGTTGAACGGCTCCTATTTGAAGAACGGAGCTGCGGCAGGGCGATTCAAGTATTTAGCCTGCGTCAATGACTTCGGTAACTGCACTAAACTTGCTTGTGAATATGAAAAACATGGAGATCATGAGTTTGCCTACCTGTTGGACGGCAATGTTTCATTGTGACCTGTCGAAGTGAGAAATCATGCGAAACTATGAGGCAGCCATATATCGTTCCACTAAAGTTGGCAAAGTTGGAGTGGTCAGGTAGGAGTGTTAACTTACAAATGTTACGTTTGCTCAAACTGACACTCACACCCTTTGCCCGAAGTTTTCTTATCTCGGGTCAAAAACAGTGTTAAAGTGTCCTACTAAAATTCTTTTAGCCATTTTAGGAAATGAAATTCCCTTTATTTCTTGCAGATATTAATAAGCAAATGTTTCTTTAACTTCTTCTTAGCCACCTTTAAACGAATCAAATAGGTGTTGGAGTAACCCATTTCAAGCCTTAATCTTACACGGAAACATGTTCTAAATTCCAGTTCAAGGAAACTTGTTTGCCCCACCTTTCCCCAAAGGGAAACTTCGAATCACCCACCCCCCTCGAGAAAGTTTTTCCATGCTGGGGAGGTGCTAACGCATCTTATTTACGCGATATATAGGTGAGAACAACATTGAGTAGTTCGACCCCTCTAGATATTTAAAATGATGGGCAAAATTTTGTAGAGTTGCTAATTTTAAGATGGTATTAATAGAAATTAAGAACTCTTATTTTCTATGGATATTATCAAAATATACAACGAGCTGTCCCTCATTTTCGGCGAAGTTCATAGCTGATTTTTTAAACTCGCGCTATGGACTTTGCCGAAAAGGAGGGACTGTCCGTCGTTCATAATCACTAGTGCGAGAGAAAGTTTCACAAGTTTTTTTTAATCAATTGCAAAGAAAGGCAAAGCCTTCACCATTTCCCCTACAGAAGCACCTTCAAAAACTTCTTCATCCCATCGTATCGTTTCGACAGCTTCAACCTCCACGACACCCGCGAAGAAACTGGGCACAAATCCTACCAAAGGATCTCAAAGTAAGACGCTACGAGCGATTGAATATACTTAAAGAAACCTAGAAAGTACATAGATAGTACTAACACTGCAACAGGGTTTTGAGTGGCTGAACCTCAAAATATGAAAAAAATTTTTTCATCGTGAATCAATCCAAAATGGTCACTTAGCGTTTTATCCTGAGCTATTCTTGACCGAAAAGGCGTTAAGGCAACTTAAATCGGTTGGAGCCCGTCTTCTTCTAACTTTTTCTAAGCCACCTTTAAACGAATCAAATAGCCGTTGGAGTAGCCCTTTACAAGCCTTAATTCTACACAGAAACATGGTCTGAATTCCAATTCCAGAAAACTTATTTGCCACACCTTTCCCCAATAAATAACTTCGAAACCCCCCCCCCCCCACCAAGAACATTTTTCCATCCTGGGGAGGTGCTGATGCATCTATTTGCACGATATACAAGTGAAAACAACATTGAGTTGTTTGATCCCTCCACATACTTAGAATGATCGGCAAAAAAGTTGCTAATTTGCCAATCGGCAAATTTTCTTAAAGTTGCTAATTTTAAGATGATATTAAGAGGAATAGACAACAAGCTGACCCTCATTTTGGCGAAGTTCGTGGCTGATTTTTTTAAACTCGCGCTACGGACTTCGCCGAAGAGGAGACTTTCCCGCAGTTCATAATCACTAGTGCGAGAGTAAGTTTCTGAAATTTTTTAAATCAATTCCAAAATACTTCGCCATTTTCCTTATAGAAGCGCCTTCAAAAACTCCTTCATCCCGCGGTATCTTTTCGACAGCCTCAACTTCTACGACACCCACGAAGAAAACGGGCATAACTTCTACCAAAGGACCTCAAAGAAGTATGACGTTACGAGCGATGGAATGTGCTTAAAGAAACTTGGATTGTACATAGTACTAACACTGCAACAGGGTTTTGAGTGGCTGAACCTCAAAATATGAAAAAGATTTTTCATCGTAAATCATTAAAAATGGTCAATTAGTGTTTTATCCTGAGCTATTGCTGACTGAAAAGGCGTTAGGGCAGCTTAAATCTGTTCGAACCGGTCTTTGTATAACCAGGGATCGGAAACACGAAAGGGCTTTCGTGGTGGGAGTGGTGACGAGATACGCTCCTACTGTGATAAAAAAAAACAAGGCTTTCAAAAGAGATCTGTAATAAAGAGTAATTGTTATTTCTCTGCTCTGTCTATGAGCAATGTTTTCTACAATGACGAATTCTCGCTTTCTTTTCCAGGTTCTTCCCAATGTAGATCTCAAGAACCTCAGTTTAACTCAAACTTCAAGGACGGAGATGCGGCAGGGCGATTCAAGTATTTAGCCAGCGTCAATGACTTTGATAACTGCACTAAACTTGCTTGTGAATATGAACAACATGGAGATTTTGCCTACCTGGTAGACAGCCAATGTTTCATTGTGACCTGTCATAGTGAGGAATTATGCAAAACTATAAAGCAGCCTTATACTGTCCCAATAGCGTTGGCAAGGTTGGTGTGGTGAGGTAGGACTGTTTATTTACAAATGTTACGTTTGTTCAAACTGACACTCACATCCTTTGCCTAAAGTTTTCTAATCTCGCGTCAAAAACAGTGTCAAATTGTCCAACTAAAACCTTTTTAGCCATTTTAGGAAATGAAATTCCCCCTGTTTCTTACAAATATTAAAAAGTAGATGTTTTTCACCTAACTTCTTCTGAGCTACCAATAAACTAATCAAATAGCTGTTGGAGTAGCCCTTTTCAAGCTTTAATATTACACGGAAACATGGTCTTAATTTCAGTTCAAGGAAACTTGTTTGCCACACCTCTCCTCAAGGGAAAACTTCGAAACCCCCCCTCCCCGCCCCCAGAAAATTTTTCCATCCCGGGGAGGAGCTGATGCACCTATTTGCACGATATATAGGTGAGAACAACAATGAGTTGTTTGATCCCTCTAGATACTTAAAATGATCGGCAAATCATTCTTAAAGTTGCTAATTTTAAGATGGTATTGATATAGATTAAGAACTCTTATTTTCTATGAATAGTAACACTGCAACAGAGTTTTGAGTGGCTGAACCTCAAAATATGAAAAAAAGATTTTTCATTATGAATCATTTCAAAATGGTCACTTAGTGTTTTATCCTGAGCTATTTTTGACCGAAAAAAACGTTAAGGAAACTTAAATCGGTTCGAACCGGTCTTCGAATAACCAGAGATTGAAAACACGAGAGGGCTTTCGTGGTGGGAGTGGTGACTAGATACGCTCCTACTGTGAGAAACCAACAAGGCGTTCAAAATTGACGAGACATTATCCTCTGAAACATTCCAAGCAACAAAAATCTCAGGAAAATCTCTGCAATTTCGAAAGCAATCATCAAGTTATGCTTACGTCTTAGGACACCTATGTGCATGTCAACGGTCGAAACTGGCCATTAAAAGGAAATTTGTGTCACGTACAAAGTTTTGAAAACTTTGAAGAGGGGTTGAGTTAGGAAAAAAGGCATCAGGTGCAGTTCGTTCAAAATCATGGTCTAATGATGACAAGACAAATAAATTCGAAGCACCTAGCTTTGTCGCGTTTGTTCTCATTCTTTTTTTATTCTTTACTGACAAATGTATGTTGTGTTTCAGTTGCACCGGGAAACCTGGGTTAAGTTCCAGATGGAAAAGTCACTATGACCACAGAGCACAGGCTTCTCCAGGATATAATTTACACCAAAAGTTATAATAGAGAGGTGCGACCAGCACTTCACGATAATGATGTTGTCACTAATATTGACAATTAAAAGTGAAGATAGAATTTCAAACCCATTAAAGCTTGTATCACTTGTTTTACTTTGAAATATGACTTTCCCCCTTGGAAGGCAAAAGGAAATTAAGAGCACTAGACAAACAAATTGTTTAACCTGAACTATATAATATCTTGCAACATATCAACAAGATTTGTATACTTCTGCATTACCTTCATTAAGATCAATAGCAGTCACCACCATTCTGTGACCCTCAAATGTGAAAATGGGTTCATTTCCTGCTTTACTGGTCTGCTACACCTTAATTGTCTTGTCTCTTGAGGAACTGTAAATAGTTTCCCTTACATATTTTACCTGTTGAGAAGCCCAGAAGGCAAAGCTCAAGGCTGTAAGTCTGTATGAGGATAAAATTCTTTACTGAGTTTTTCTGTATGTTAAT